TGGGCTTCCAGGTGAAAGTGAGAATAGAGGTAGAAAGTGTCTTTTGAAGACTGTTTCTTTTTTAATATGTGCAATGTATGATAACATAACTGAATACTTTAGCTTTTGATTATTGATATTTTGGTGAAAGAAGATCTACACCAAGTGAGAGTCTGTTCTGAAAATTTGAGTTGTGAGCAATAGTCATCTACTAGGGGACATTACGTACCGTTCCTTTTTCTTTTCTCTTAAAAAAAAAATCATTTGGCATTATGTCCTTTTAGCTTATAGAATCGTAGCTAGCCGCCCCTCCTTTGGGTGGCTTAGATCAGCCCTCTCCAGGCAGTACTTTGAAGTCTGTGAAATACATGGATAATTTAGGCTGACATACTTGGCAGGCCCATTTAAAAAGCAGAATTGTTTGATGGCATGACACAAGAGGTCTGTTAACTGAGTTATAAAGAACTGAGGCATTTTCAACAAACCCTAGCCTTGGCATGAAATTTAAATAGTTCTTATTTTGTGGCGTGCAGTTAGTGAGCTTCCTGTGATGTAATATGGTCTCTCAGTGCAAAATGCTAGGAAATGGGACTTTTACTATACCTAGCAATTTCTCCAAGAAGGAATGGGTCAAAATAAGTATGCGGTTATTTTCTCCTTTAATTCAATTCAGCTACAGTAGAGAGACTGCCTTAGCAGGATATGAGGAAGCGGACCTGGAGAGAGCCGTAGCCCTTAGGAAATGTGAGAGACTAGCCAATCAGCGGTGGGGTTGGAGAGTGCCTAAATAATGAGGATAATCTAATTATTATGGTGGGTTGATACATAGCCTTAGAAATCAGTGGCCTTCCTTAAAAAATTTTTAAAAATCAAATCTAAAAACATATAGTTCATTATTGTGTGTACTATAAACATCCTGAAACCTTTTTTTGTAGCATGATATTCTAAACTTTTGTGGTTTTCATTGTGATTTTACTATTCTTATCACTTAATTTTTTTTTTAATTCTAAGTGTTGAATGCAGATGTTGCTAATTTTATCAGAAATGTAAGTTTTACATAATTGAGAGATCAGGAAAAGAGTATTACAAGACAAAGGTTACCAAAATAAAGCTTCCAGTTTATGCTGCTAAGCTCTCTGAATGGTGAATGCTCACTGAATGGCATTACTGTTGGGCTATTCTCTCGCAGAAGAAAAAAATGAAACTACAAAGTAGTTTCAATATGTGCCTGTGTATTAAAGTGGAAGCATGTGACACCACCAAATGGGTACCACATGGCAGAAATACCCAGGAGCAAGTCAGTAGTATGAAAGGCATAATTTAGTTTTGTTTCATTTCATTTTTTTTCCTTTAGGGGGAGGAAGAGAGAAAGAGAGAGAGAGAGACATGACAGACAGACAGACAGACAGATTGTGTCCCTGTCACAGAGCCAGGCCTCTCATTTTACTTGATATATTTGGTTTAGTGGAGTTTCGTGCCTGCCTGATTTTAATATTGATCTTTATTCTGATACCTTTGATTATAGCTTTTAGATGCCAAATTTCTTTATCTTTGAAAAAGGGAACTAAGGAGAGTGACTGGTTTGCTACTCACTTTCTTACCTCAGCTGGCTTGGACTGTGGCTCCGTGTCTGCTCCTAGTTGTTTAGTGATGATTGGTGTGTGCTTACCTTCTTTCCCAGGCTCCAGTCAGTCACTCAGAAAATAATAATTGAGTGTTTAAAGTGTGCGAGCCTTGTACTGGCTTTGACCTCTACTGTTTAGGGATGTCTAGAGTAGGAGGCTTGTGAACCACTGAAAATGTGAAGTGGGAAGAGAAGTTATTTCTTATGTTTGCTCAGTGAGGAAATACCGTGGATGGCTAGAAACTTCACTGACTTTTGAAAATAATTTATTCCATTTGCTTAAATAGAATTCTTGAATATTATGAAAATAGTTAAAAATTAAAACATCTGTTTAGCAAATCAGAAACATTTCAAGAATGCAGATCTTTGACTATATTAAGTAGGCATATAGCCACAAATAAGTTTGCCTTTCTACTTGTTGGCTTCCATCTGAATCCTTTAATGTACACCGTCTACTGAAAAGCATGGGTTTCAGAGCCAAGCCTGGTCCAGTCCTGGCTTTGTAACTTGTTAGCTATGTAATTAATTGGGATTGGCTCCAGCCAGTTAGCTTGACTTTGGGCAAATTACTTAATCTTTCTGAGCTTTTGGTTCTCTGTCATTTTATGGGGACTGTAATGCCTATCTTATATGGCTGTCTTGATAATTAAATAAGACTGTAGATTAATTGATAGGTACTAAATACCCAGCACACAATAGTTTTCCTTTCACCCCACTTATATACTCAATTTTTATGTTACTTTAATAATACAGTACAGTGTCTTAAAATATCCATGCCTTGTTTGGGTATCTGGAAGGTAAAAAGCATTCTGTGTTTTATGTCAACAGTGGCTAGTAGCTGTTACCATAGGAATAAATCTGTGGAAGTGCTTTTGCCCAGTATATGCTAATCTGAAGCAGCACTCTGTTTTCAGCTCATACCCTCAGATAGACGTTAGTTCATTCTTTCTCTTTTCCTGATTGGAAGAGCAAAATGTGGCCAACATCCATTTAGTGTTTGTGTTAGAGCAGTGGTCTCCAGAATTTATTAAAGGGTCGCAAGCTTTGAATCCTCCTTTATATGCACCTCTTTTTTCATGAATTTTAATACAGATTTAGATTCTTACAACTATCACTACAAGATCCAAAGAAGTTCTCAAACCCCACACGTTATCCCATTTTAGTCACGCTTTTCCCCCACACCTAACTCTAGACCACCACTATCTGTTGTCTGCTGCTATAGTTTCGCCTCTCCTAGAATCTTGTATAAA